GAAGCGGGCAGTGGATGCTGTAAGTGGCCAGAGAATCCATTCAAACTCCTGGAGATTCCATGTGTACACAGTAGAGCCGCCCCATGGGGTTCTCAAGGCTATGCCTATCAGAAGCAGATCCCCAGGTCTGTCTCTAAGGGGGATCCGAACCACCAACCTTTCAGTTAGTGATGGAGCACTTACATGTTTGTCTCACCCAGGTACTAGATCCCACTGCCATCGAGTAAATTAAGATTCATAGCAACCCTACACAAGGCGGAGCTGTAGGTTGGGTGTTGGCTGCTAACTGTAAGGTTGGCAGTTCAAAACCACCAGGCACCCCTTGGTTAGGAAGATGAGGCTGTCTGCTTCCATAAGGATTTCTAGTCTGAGGGTTACTATGATTAGGAAATCAACTCAAGAGCAGTGGAACTGGAAAGTAGATAGGTGACATTGACATAAAGATTGGCCTGGACAGAGGGATATTATCACAAAGTTTCCTACTTCGGTCCACCAAGGAAATTCCTCATCTGCCTTAGTAAGGCAATGAGCGGCCCCTCAGATCTGACCCTGGAATAGTGTAATCCTCTCAAATCTCTCCTCACATGACAGTTTACAGAGCAACCGGTCTAGAAGACACAGGAGCTATTAAAACTGTAAGGAAGAGAATAACCCTGGCTAGGCTGGCTTTGTACCTGCACAGCCTACAAGACGCCTTCATGAGGGCTGGGTATGAAGCCCACAGACTTCAGGCTCTTAGCACCTACACCAACCAGTGCCACCAGTAGGCCTCTCGTGGAGTGTAAGACGAAGGAGCTTCAAAAAGTTTATGGAATTAAAAGACAAGTTCTCATGCACTTCTTAAGCCCCCTCTTATATATGCAACTTGACACACTTGACCCCCTGCGGTTCTGATTCAAGGTAGCTAGGATAGGGCCCAGGATGCGGATGTAGTTAAACATTGCTTGGGCATTCCTCCAAGCTGAGAGCCATCAAGCAAGGACAATGATTCATGAATGCTCTGGAAAGGAAACGTCTCCCCACTACCAAAGAGACAGATGAGAGTCTCAACACTTACACCTGGGGCTCACACACTGAGCAGAAGCTGAAATTCAATGACTGCCAGTTTACTCTCCCATGAAACCTATTTGCACAAACCCTTCCTAGTGCCACATATAAATGGCGCCATCATAAAGGCAAAGGCACCAGAGAAGAGAGAGGGAGACTATGAGTGCGATCTGCAATCATAAAAACTGAGACATAGGAGAAAGCTGCGCGTCACTCTGCCCATTGTTCCAGAGGGGATAAAACACAACCCCCACCGGCTGACCGCTACTGAGGAGGAGGGGGTTTTCAAAACTTACTTCACTTACTTTTTTCAAAACCTAACAGTCCTCCGGGACAGGCAGTCCTTTTGTATCCCTAACTTCAATCTTGCCTGCTCGGCTCCAGTCCATTTCTGTGCTTTGTTAAAACAGAAAAGCAGCCAAGCTCCCTCCACATAAAAATCTTTCAGAAACGCAAGGAGGGGGAAGGGTTGCAACACACTTGCTTCTTAAGGAAAACAGATTCATGCTGGTGAGGCACAATCGAGAGGAAAGGTAGGAGGCTGTGCCATGTAAAGGACTGGAGGAACTCGAGGGACCTTCACAAGCAATACCTTTGCATTACACTTCAACAACTCAGCAGACTGGACATAAAGGCCACTGATCTCAGGGATGCCACGCCCTTTAAGAAAGCAGAACACAAACCCCAGCTCTCACTTATTCTCAGAGGCTCAAACCCACCGGCTGCTCCTCGAAACAAAGATGAAGCTATTAAGATCCCGTAAGATTTACAGCCTCAGAAATCTTACATAAGGTCCCTCGGAGTCCAAATTGGCTGGAGCTGATGACAGTGGGATCTGCAAGGGGAGGCCCTGGTAGTGTGCGGTAATCATTGGGCTACTAATTGCAATGTCAGGGACCCCAGGAAAACTCCATGGCACCCGACTTCTATAAAGACTATCCCTTGGGAAGCCCTATAGAGCAGTTCTACTCCCTCCTATAGCGTCACAAGGGGTTGGAACCGACTCGCCTTCAGTGGGTTGGGGCTGGGTCTGAGTGGTGCCTTCAATCCTCATCTCTACTGGTTTTCACATTGGCTTTGAAGCACGCCCAGCCCTCTCCTGCAGGAAAAGGTCTTCATCAAGCACTACCTTTTGCACATGTGGACTACTTCGCTTCAGATCTCTCACACCTCCGTGGGCTGCGACACAACTTCTTTCTCGCCATCTTATTCCTACTTTTGGTTTCTCAACTAAGCAGTCACAAACGCCTCCTGACCATTTCTTATTTTCCTGGACTTCCAGGGTTACCCCCACTGTATTTGACACCTTTAAGTTATTCTTATTCATTTCCTCAGCAATCATTCACTTACTATTTACTGCACGCTTTACCCTGCCTTCAGCAGTATGATGTATGGAAATAAGAACACGACCCTCTGCCCCGAGGAAATGAAGACAATTAGAGATTGGTTCCAAGGTGCTGGAGCCTGGAGAGAGAGCCCAGTGAATATAAAGTGGGTCTAGAAATAAGTGCAGGATTGGATGAAAAGGAGGACGGCTACTGCAATTCAAAGCAACAGTCTGATTCAAAGAAGCAGGCCACCTAAGGCAAACGCTGCAGAAAACACCCGTGTCTCTTCCTCTTTTGCCCCCCAAAAGTGGCATGTGCTTTTTTCTTTTCAAACTTCAGAATTAGCTGTCCATGAACCAGAGCTCTCTGAAACCATGCATTAACCACAATCACCGCACATTCGGCAGCTCATGAGGCCTGATACCCCAGGGCCTGTGGGGGTTGCCACAGGCAGGATTTTACAGTATCTTAAGAAATCTTCAATCCAGGGAATGGAGAGTGCGATCAGAGCAGGCATCTTTAGGGTCCTAGGTACCCCAAAGCCAGCTAACTGTTCTTGGGTGCTCTTCTTCAAGTCGGACAGTTCAAGCAAGGGCCATTCAACTTCAGCTTAGCCTTTCCTTCACACCATGCTCCAGGGCAACAGGTCAAGTCATCTAAAGCAGTTTGAAGCACTGCTTTTGAAATCAGGACATGGAATGGTGGTGTGGGGCAGGGGGCGGTGTGGGGTGTGAGGGCTCTTTTTCCACCATTGCCTCGGTAACCTCTTCCCCTCTTGCCTCATTCTTCTGTGACATCTTCCCTGATTCTCCTAAGTAGATGTAGGGTCCCTTCCCAGTGCTCCCCATTAACATCATATATAAGCTTCTAAGACAGCATTTACCATACCAAACTATAATTATCTGTGTATATGCTGACTAGCCACACATTCCAAATGGTAAGGATGTTTCTATTCATCACTGGCACCCAGTAAACATTTGTTGAATGTATTAATGGTGAATGCCATAGAATGGGGACCATACCTTCTGATTCTAGACCAAAATTACAATACTAACACTACCTAAAGACCAAGCTCTTGGCCAGTACAAGAAGCCACAGATAGGAGATTAGTAGCTTCAGTAATGTTGGTCATTGCTAAGTTACCAGTCAAGAATATGAGGGTTTACAGGACCACGAATGAACCAGCACAAAAAAAGAGCCAACAGAATAAAATCTAAAGCAGTTTCTAAATTTCTGACTCATTCTCCTGCCTCCAGAGAACCCTATGAACAACGATTTTACTAAGAGCCCTTGTTGTGGTTGTTAGGTAGGTGCTGCTGAGTTGGCTCAACACAACCCTATGGAGAACAATGCCCGGTCCTGTAACATCGTCACAATCGTAGCTGTGTTTCGGTCTATGGTGGCAGCCATTGTGTCAAACCTGGGAAGAAGAACCCAGTAATTTACCTCTAAACAAAAATGGCCAGTGAAAAACTTATGAATCAGAGTTCTTAGAAGGACCAATAGCTCCAGTGTCATGGAATCTGTGGTTACTGTTGATTCAGTACAACCTCTGCTGAAATCGACAGGAAAGCTGTCTGCTTTCTGACCAAATCCAAGTAAGGGTCTGCTCCTGCTCGGCTCAGGGACAAGGATCTTTGCACAGTCCTCCCCAAACTGCCATGCTGGACGTTAGCCCTCTTAAATCATTCCTCCCTGGGTTTACTCGGCTTTGAAGAGATAGATACAGGCGAGGCAATAAAATGCTGCTATCGTAAATGCCTCTCCCCACAGCACTCCTGCATCACATGGGCTACTGTGTTTACAAGCTGCTAATGAAACACAAAAGTCTGATCTGATCCTATGGGAACAAAGTCTCGAATTTCCTCAGGGACTAAACAAATTTAGTCTACTTTGGTATTTCTAAAATTGTGGGGCTCACAAACCTGAAGAAAGTTTAAGCCCAGTAAGGAGATGAACAGGGACTTAGCCTCCAAGGAAGTAAGGCTGATAGGAAGGGGTTCTAGGCTTACAGAGAACGAGATAAGCAAATATTCCTCGGCAAATCAGCTGTATTCTTCTGGCAGGCTCCTGACACCTTTAAAGTTAGCAATCGGAAGAAGCTCCAAATAAGTTCATTTAGGTCTCTTAGAGAGGGGAGTAAATTTGTTTTGACCCTAGGCAAGGCATTTACCAAATCAGTTCCACGGGCCAGGTGTTTACTACAGCTCTTACATAACTCCAGCTGTGACACTAACACCTGCAGCTGCATTAGTCACAGTTTAGTCCTTAACAAGGTTTATGTCTCATGCTCCTCTGCCAAGAAGAGAAACTGAGTCACTGCCTATCAAATGGCTTCCCCAAACACAGCGTTGGTTTTAGTGGGGCCAGGAATGACCCCCTGCTGCCTTCCTGCATCTCTCCTGGATGATGCTTGGCATGCATGCCCACCTCTGCTGCCCCACTTTGTTCAGCCTGAAAGCGAATCCATGTGTGCTGGAAGGGCTGTGATGGGCTTACAAGGATTTTGAGAACCAACAGGAGTTTCTAGTTCTCCTCTTTCCCCAGAAAGAGGACGGTCAGAGAGGTGCCTGGAGCAGCAGAAGGTAAGACTGAGAAGGGACAGCTCCCAATACTAGAACCCACCTTGGAGCCGAGATCCTCCCGCCGGTTTCCTGCCTTACTCCGGCGTAGTTTGATGGATGGGGATCGTAGAAGGTTCTTGATCCGGCTGGTAATGGTTGACCCTTCCACAGCCATCATGATGAGGAGCCCTTGATAGAGTGCCTGGCTCCGTCTCAGCCCGTCTGTCTCAACAGCGGCACGCCCTTTCCACTCTACAGGGCCTTCCAAGGCGCCCACGTACTGACCTGAGAGGGCAGGGGTCACCTTAGCATTAGAGGAGATGCCTTACCTTCTGCCTGGCTGAGCCAACAGCTCGTGCGCGTCTAGGCATTACTCTCTCCCTTCCTGACTGCACTCTCCTTTCTGCCCCCAAGTCCTGCAGTCTTATAAAGCTCAAAAAAATTTAAAAAGTGGTGAGGGGTGGGGGGTGGGGAAGGATCCGACGCCTAAGAAGAAATGCCAGGTCCACACCGGCCAGAAGTGCTTCAGTGGTGGGATGGGGTGGGCCCTACCTAGCAGTGTGGGAAGACTGGTGACTGGTCTGGTCCCCGTTAATTCTCAACCGTTCCCATGGTACCTGCGGCGCTCAAGGAAGGGGGCCGCCGAAGCCACCAAGGAATTCCGCAGGGGCCCTGAGCACCTGCGCTGCGCCCGCGGGGTTGCCGTGCGCGGCGGGGCTCACCCGGCCCAGAAACCCGTTCCGCCACGGGAGCCTCCTCCACCCCGACCCTCCAGAGGTCGCTCTCGGTCAGCCAGACGGGCCCGGGACCTTCCCTTGCACAGCCCGTCCTCACCCTGGAAGCCCCTGTTGCTCGTCAGCGCCCCCGCGAGGGCCCACCCTCACCAGCCCTGAGGTGCGAGGGCCGCCTCGCTCACTGCGCCCTCGGGCATCGCGCTCGCAGAGTTCAGCTCCGCCGCGGCAGCGGCATCAGCAGCTATGGTGGCACGAGCGGCTCAAAACGCGAACTACCGCCCGGGCCAAACTCTGGCGCCGGGCGGGCGGGGCCAAGACAAGGGGGTGTGGCCTGTACCCAGGAGGACGTTAGGAGAGCAGGCGCGCCAGGCTTATGGGGGCGGAGCCAATGAAAGGACGTCGGAAGTAGATGACTTCGGGGTCCAGAACCACGGGTTCCGGTCAAAGCATTCGTAGGTACAGGTGGTCTCAGAATTGAGAGAACCGAGCCTTTTATGGTATTATCGGACCTAGTGCCCCCAGAGAACGGCGTTTTCCAGAGCCCCAACGACAAGACGACACGCCGCAGGGCGCTGTATGGGCTCCTGAGACCAAAGCCGAAACTGACCGCTAGCTCAGCTTTACAAGATTGCAGGCTCCAGGCTCGGCTCTGGTCTCTGACGCTAGGGTTTAAATCAGCGGTTCTCAACACGTGGGTCGCGACCCCTTGGGGGGGGTGTCTGACCTTTTCATAGGGGTCGCCCGATCCATAACTAGCAAAACTAGTTCTGAAGTAGCAATGAAAATTTCAGGGTTGGGTGCCAGCACATGAGGAACGGTATGAAAGGGTCGCGGCGTTAGAAAGGTTGAGAACCACTGATTTAAACCAACTAGAACGGGTTCTGCTTGACGCCAGTCGACGCAGCAACCCGCGTGGAAAGCAGCATTTGCAATGGGGAGGAGGGCGCGTGGGGGCTAGAGAGAGCTTTACCAGTGGATGGCAAGGGGCGGACATACCAATTTCCTGGGTTCCCCCGCCCTGTGTCCCACCACTCTTTCCCAGACCAGAAATAAACCAGGACTTTGTTACTCTGGAACGTTCCCTCGATACGGCAAACCGTAGAAACCCGTTAATTATCGATGTTAGACTACTGGCAACTACATATTTTTTGTAGACGGGCATGGAAACACTTACATAGATCTTTCAAGAGTCTTCTCTGCCTGCGTTTATTTTCTAGGTACCCCATTTTCAGCCTCGTTTTCTTCAAGAAAATGACTTATGAGGGTGAAGTCAAACCGAAGTGTCATTGTGTCAATTCCCATAGCAATCCTACAGCGCAGAACAGAACTGAAGCTGGGGGTAGGGGAAACCCTCTCCGGAAGTGGAAAGCCTCGTCTTTCTCCCCTAGGACCAGTGGTTTCAAACCACTGAGCCTGCAGTAATCCTCCTCTGCACCACCAAGGCTCCGATAGACAGGTTAGCCAGGAGGCGCTGTTGCACCTACCCAACGGAGTCCTAGTGGCACCGTAGGACTGCTAACTAAACGCCAGCAGTTCAAGACCACCCCTCGGTGGGTGAGAGCTGCTCCTACGAAGATGTACAGCCTCAAGAACCATATACAGGAATGAGTTGGAAGGGAGTCAATGGCAGTGGGTTACCCTTTCCAGATACTTGGTGCCCCAGGAGGAGCTAGTCAAGATCCCTTGCCCTATAGGGCAGAACAGAGGTGCTCTTTAGGGCTTCCTAGGCTGAGATCTTCACGGATGGTCTCATCTTCCTCTGAGGGCTGGTGGATTTGAAACAAAGACCCTAAACACATTGCTCTAAGGCAGCAATGTGGGTGGGTTGGGGGGGTGTCAAACAACCCTTTCTCAAGGGTCGCCCGATTCATAACAGTAGCAAAATGAGTTATGAAGTAGCAATGAAAATTTTATGGTTGGGGAGGTGTCACCACATGAGGAACTGTATAAAAGGTTGCGACATTAGGAAGGTTGAGAACCACTGCTCTAAAGGGTGAGCCCCACACAGCCAAGGGCAAAGCAGGCACGTAAGGTTTAAAGGCTGACAAGAGATAGACGTCTTACCTCCTATAAAAAGGGTTTTAAAAATCTCTCTGACCTGGGGAGGAAAGTGCCATTCTTCCACTTTCCGGAGAAACCGAAACACTGCTCAAAGCGCCACCTGGCGTTCTTACCTATGTACTGCAGGACTCACCCCGTCTTTCACCCACGGATCCATTTAAACATGCTCTCGTCCTGTCCATACATCGGCGCCTAGCAGATTTTTCAAGGAGCTTTGTGGCAGGTAGGTTAGGCAGAACATTGCTAACTGGAAGGTGAGGGTCTCAAAACCACCAGTGGCCCCATCAAGATTTCATTCTTAGAACCCTGTTCTAACATAGGATTGCTGAGTCAATATCAACTCGACAGCAGTGGGTTTGGCTCATTTACCTAACCACTCAAGGTTAAGTGTCATTGTTCACTTCCTATCTTTAGTTACCCTAGCTTAAACCCTTTAAAAATGTTCCTCAAATTGCCCTCATCAGAAGCTGCAGAGGCAAATCTAAGTTCCTACATCCGAGGTCTAAGTTGAAGTGAAATTGAGGGGGTTTCTCAAAGTCCAGAATCTACATATATGCTTCCAGCTAAGGGCTAAAACCAGTTAATTCTTCACAATTTAGTGCAAACTTTATGTCTCTATTCCATCACCACCTTTGAGCTGCCCACCTGAGGACTGGCTGTTCTATACTTGAATTTCTGACAAGATGCACTTCCAGTGATAGTTCCTTTTCATACCCCATTTTGTCCCTCTCCCAATGCAGTTGATTTTAAGTATCTCACCATCCATATGCCACTTCACTTTCTATTGTTTATGTATGTTCGAAACATGTACACATATTTGTTCAATTCTAAAATTCTAAGAGGTATACAGCTATCCATTTAGTATGTTCATTAGATCAGATTTTAAAATCTACCTTAGTTTAACAAAACAGCATATAATTAAGGATCCTGGATAGCATCAATCCAAATATTTATTAGCACCTTACAAGCAAGGCACTGTGAGCTGAGACCAGTATTTGTACTTGGAAACAGGATGGAGCACAGAACAATGCTTCCAAGACTGCTTTCCAACTTCAACAATATTTTTCCTGAGTTTATGACGACAAAATAATTTGTAGAGTGCAGTCTCAAAATTCCCAACCCATCCTATGAGTGAGCCTTCCCTTTCTCCACACACATCTCCATTGTGACTACTAACACCCTGAGTCTGGGCAGAACGGTAGTTCACGTACACACTCCCATTAGCCCACTTTACAAAACTTGGTTTTTTTCCCTCCAATTTCTCTGCAAGCAGTCTTCGTGTCCATATAGTTTCATGAGCAATAATGCAATGACACAAGTACTAATGTCCTTACTTTCTTAAAAAATCACTTATTCCAGGTCTTGGTTATTATTCATTCTCTGAACAATACTCTCAAATGTGCTACCTACACTGCAGCTTGTTGTATCCACCTCCTGAAAGGGAGGACCACACACACTTTTTCTTCTTTTAAATGCCTTCACGAAGCACTTACCGCTCAGGTCATTTCATCTGATTCCATTTTATTAGGAAAAAAGGTAACTAAATGCATGCTCCCCAAATATACTCTTAGGAGCTGTTTTTCTTCAGTGTTGAAACCATTCTGAAACTTATTATACGGAAGCCTCTGCATCAGCTATTCGACCTATAATTCTGGGGAATAAAACTACTGCATTTAATGTAAAATTATTCAAAATGAACAATGTATACAAAGTCTATATAAATGGTGTTGATCTGTTAGTGGCCTAAAGTATTTAAAGAAGTCCTTAGACTGTAAATTATAAAGTTAACAAATATTTTGCTGAGAAAACCTATTCACCCGCAGCCATTAAGATTGTAATTTATGACCCCTGTTATTACCCAGGCAGCAAGTATATTGCCTGCACACACCAGTACAAGGCTAACCTTTCTTCCTTTTAAATAATTCTTTTAGACAAATTATTTGCAATCAAGGTGTACAAAAGTTTTCAGACTCCATGGAAAGCATGCTGTATGGATCAGAACACCACAAACATCCCCGACAGCATGTCAGAAATGCTTGAAAACGGTAAGGAGCCCCCATGCCAAAACTACTTCAGTGGCAACAATTCCAAGTTGGCACAAACCCCCCAACACCAAATCCTGCTTTAATTATTTTAATTGGTTTATTTATTTCAGATTGATACATTCTGCCTTTCAGCCGCCAAATGTCTTCTTCTGGTCTTGGGTTTCTAAAAAAATAGTCATTTTTCAAAAGCAAAAAAGAAAAGATATATATTTAATATATAAAGGAAAAGGCTAATCTGGCATAATTATATTCTTAAAAACATTCCATTTATTTACAGATGTATAAAAAGGTGAATTGTTGGTCTACTGAGATCATGCTTCTTAAAGAGTTAGGGTGAGAGTCCACTGCCCTCCATCTTCTTCAACTCCTTTCACTCAACTACGGTTTTCATGAGCACACACATACTTCTTATAGCTCCGTCTCTCCTGGGGCAAGGTTAGAGGGAGTCGTGTTTGAGATTCGTGAAGACTGCACTGCAGGGTTGCTCTGGAGATTGAGTCTTCTTTCAAACCCACCCTGAGGACTCCTAGTTCTAAATGGGTCTTTAGAACACACTATCTTGGGGGTTTGTAATAAAATCTGTGGTCTTTCCTGAACACCTGGAATCTTCTATCATTTCCACCTTCATATATCATAAACAGAGTCAAATATCCTCCCCAGTCAAGGATAGAGTTTTCCTCCTTGGGGGAAAAAAAGAACAGCATTTTCCCCTAAAAAGGTAACAGTGTTCAGAAGCGAAAAAGATCCTTTTCCTGAGGATTGTTTGCTCACTTGCCTAGTCCTTGGCTGACCCCCAGAAGCCACAAGAGCAGCCTTGGTAAGGCAGGAGGAAACGGGAGTGACAAGGAAACAATTCATGGGAAACTGCTCCAGACCTGGGTTAGAGCACTAGCGTATCCAAAGACAATTAGCAGGGCAGACAGGAGTTGGATTCCGTGGCTAAGGTACTGAATGAAATTTGTTGGGAAAACAGAAGTGGAGAGGGTAATGAGAAGCGGAAGGATGTGCTTCACCTACACTTCAGGCTTCTTCAGCAGCCTTTAAAGCAGCTCCAGGAAGGCAAGTAGAACAAAACCACCTAAGACTTTCCTCCCACTGAAGTTTGCAGACTAGTCTTGTCCTCATTCCTCTCAATCTGGTGACTACCAAGCCAAGAGAAAGGAACCAACCATGGAATTAATAACTCACTGGCTAGGACCATTTCAAAGTTGGTCTCACAATCTAGGTCCGAAAATTTGCTGAATGGATTTGCAGTAAAGGAGGCAGGGGATACAGAAGCAACAGCATCACCTAGGCACAGCCCAGGTACTGGAAGCTCTTGTGGTAAATGTTTCACACACAAGCAGATCCTGTCAATGAAGACAGAGAGCGGTTACATTCCAAAATATAATTATTTAAGAAAGGCAAAATGCAGCAGCTAAATCCCAGTCTATACATTTTCAGATTAGCAATCCTTGCCCCCAGGAGTTCCAGGAGACCTTTCAAGTGCACCATGATTATTTACAAACTAGATACGAAACATTTCTATACTCAATACAAATCTCATCTCCTAGGTTGAAAACTTCAGCCTTTGAGAAATCTATGAAAACAACTATACAAAAATATAAATATCTTTACAGGCTGTCAGTCCTTCATACTTTGACAGCTAATGAGTGAAAAAGCTCTACAGATCATTTATTCCATGGTAGCAGATAATAAAAAATATATCTCGTGATTCAAATACTGCCTTATTTCCCTGGTAAAGAGTGACTACTGTGACTTTCTTTCTGTTTACATCCTGTGCAGGTAATAGTGAATGAACCCTTCAAGCACCAGGAGGCTGGTTTAATTTAGGAAATGTCCAGCCCCACAATTTTATTTATTAGGAGTATATATTTTGGCCACTGGCTCTGGTGTAAAGAGGAGATGCTTTCGTTCTAGCTCTCTCAAGTGATATGATGTGTGAAACGAGCAAAGCGGCTTCTCTAAGCCTACCTCCAAAATAAAGATTCCAAATCAAAATCGCTGGCACTATAAAATGGTCTTTGCAAAACCCTTGTGGGTTCTGACAAAAAAAGAGAACTACTATTTTCTTAAAAACATCTCAAAGTAGTCAGCTTAGTGATCAACATAAAAGCATCCCTACTTTACCAGAACTTACATCTCTGATTGAAATGATAAGAAAAATGGAAGCTACTTGGGATACAGAGAAGTTTTTGCCAAATGTCACAAAGCCCTTCACTTTGGTATTTCACGTGACCCATACAGCCTCGTTCCCTATGTCTGAAACACCAACCAAAATCTTCTCTTCTGGATCCCTTTGCACAAGGACATCACATTCCTTGGATTTCAGACGTAAGCCCCACAGCTACCAGCTACAGTCTACTACATCACCCAAGTCTCAAGTGGCTTCTGCGCGGGGAGAGAACTAAGGACCACTGTATGGACTGGGAGTCCACACAATGATCAATCCCTTGGGTAAGACGGGCACCTTGTGTTCAGTAATGGATCACATCTTGTTGGAGACGACGAGGGGAACCCAGCACCACAAGTGAGGTAACACATTTTAACATGATCAGAAATTCATAGTAGTAATTTCTTACACTGGGGTCAGCACCCTACCCCCATTCTCCATCATTATCCACTAAATCCTCCAAGTCAAGGATTATAGTTCATGACACCAACAGATGCCTGCAGAGAAAGATGAGATTCAATTTTCCCTCACAGCCTGGCTTCCGCTTTAGGACAAGTTAAGTTCATTTCCCTGCAGAACTTGGTGAAGCTCCAGAGTTGCCCAATTTAGCAACAATAGGTGCCAGGGTGGGCATAACTTTGCTATCCCGGCCTTCCTGATCATTCCCTGTTAAGTTCGTTTTGTGTCCAACTGATCCAACTTTGGCAGCTACAGGTGCCAAACAAGGCATCACTTTAAGACTCTGCCCATCTGCATCACTGGAAGGATGAGTGACCTTTAAGCCTAGAGGTGCCAACTTTGGCATTGGTCGCCACAGAGTATCTGTGCTGCTGTTCCCCAGGCCAGTCTTCATGTGTAGAGTAGGGGGTGAGGACACACTTTCAGACACTGCAGGGTGACTAGACTTATTCTTCCCTCCATCGCTGGCTTTCCTGAGGGGAAGAGGAGAATCTTTTATTTCTGGATCGATAACAATCTTAAGTACATCTGTCTCAGAGGTTGGTTCTGTAAGCTGTTTTTCATTCTCAGAAAGGTCATCATCTTCCAAGTGTAAGAGGAGTGGACTGATGGGTTCGCTCCCTTCTTGCACATCAGACAACTCTTTCAAACCAGTTCCTAAGTGGTCCACCTGGAAAGTTCCTCTGTTCCTAGGAGGAGGCTTATTGATAAAAGCCTGTGGAGCATCCCCTGGGAACTCTGTTCCCATAGGACTGGGCATTTCAGCCAAGCCAACAGAGTCATCATTTAGTTGTTGATTCAGAAAGGCAATCTCATTGAGCAGAGAGGTCAGTGTCTCATCAGTGTCATCCTCATCTTCAATGTTCGTGAGTAGTTCACTGGAGTCCAGCGCTGCTTCCTCTATAGCAGATGCTACCTTTCTCAGTTCCAGCTCTATGCTTGAGTCCTTGAGATCTTTCATCTTCAATTTATGAAATGGAGACTCCTTTGGCTTCAGTCTCTCCCCTCTTGATTCATTCTCTTTCCATTTATATTGGATCCCTCTTTTATCACCAGAAATCTTCTTAGGTAAGAGTTCCTGTGCTTCTGGAATACTGGAAACATTAATTATTTGTGGAAAACCAGAATCTTTATTTGCCAGAAACACCTGTGCCGGGTTCAGCGCCACTCTACCATCTCTGTGGTTGCCTCTAGAAGAGATTCTACTCAGATCTTCAAAGGAGTGATCTTCATTACTGATGTTGTCTTTTAGTGGGTCGGGTGGCTTGCCATCAGGAGGTTCATGAGGATATTTGCTGCCACTTAGATCTACTAAACCTTCCTCTGTGGCCAATGATGTCACATTAACAATTCTTGGCATCATGAATAAGTCATCATTTTCTGGTGGGTGGAGGGGACAGAGGGAGAAAAAAAAAAACCAGTTTAGAGCTACAGTGGGCAGAATCTTCTCCCTCAATCATACCCAAGGATTTAGGGAGCTGTACTTAAAACTTCCCAGTCTACGTTTACCAAAATAATACAGGAAAAATTCATTTCTCAAATTGTGGACCTAACCTAACAAGAAAAAAACAAGTAAAATCTAATCCAAAGGGTTTGACATCCCACTATTAATAAAAGTTCCATTTAACAACTGTATAGAAATATGTCCCAAGTTAATTTTGTATCCTATAGCACACAATTAACTGCAACTCTGAAAGGGCAATGAAGCTCCAGAAACAGCACTATAGTGAAAGGCTTGCTCCTTTATATTAGATCTAGCAGAAGATGGACAGGGGACTGATGGATGGCAATGGTATAAAGTAGGATCTAGGTATAGGGAAAGGTTCCTTAAGGTCCCTGGGCAGTGCAAATAGTTTTTGCCTGACTACTAACCTAAAGCTTGGTGGTCTAAACCGAGACAGTAGAGCTGCAAAAGAAAGGTCTAGCAATCTGGTTCTGTAGAGACCGCAGCTAAGAAAACCCTAAGAAGCAGTTCTACTCTGTAACCTCTGTGAGGTTATCACAAGTCAGAGTAATACTTCGTAGTTAGTTTGTTTTTAAGGATACCTTTACTTCAGTAGAAATTAAGGTGCTGGAGATTATAAAATAATTAAAGGGAGACTTCCTTTACAAGGCGCCACTTGCTCCTCACAAAAAGGGAGTGGTGTTCAATCGGAATTAGGCTGGAAATGCAAGAGAGCACCATCTCTGTACGGTATAACATTGTTAAATATTTATCAACATCAAGAGCTAAGACATGGGCCCCTTCAACACTGTCCTTTCACTCTGGCATCTATCTTTAATATTTGTTCCTATTTACAAATTGCCAATTCACAAAACATTTCTAAATCCCAGGTAAAACAGACCTATCAGTATCATGAATCAAGCCTAACGTCAATGAAATGGTTCTTTATAATTACTGATCACATTCAAAAGCCCTTTTCTATAGCTGTGTATCAAGAATAACCCTCTTTCATTACTCACAGAAGACAACAACTATATCATACCTGATTGAGCCACAACACTGTTGGCAACCTGAGGCTTCAAATCTGCTTCTAAGAGAGCGGGAGAAACAGTTACCACTGGTCCTGAAAACAGGGGGCCTTTTAAGGTGAGCAATTGCCCTTGCGGAGTCATCACGAGGTTGCCAGATGTGTGTGGAGTGTTAGAGGGTGAAATATTTTCTGAAAGGAAGATCAGAAATTAGTTAAGGATAATAGGCCTTCATCTAAAGCTAGTGTAAGTCCAATAGTCTAGGAGACATCCCTAAAATACTGACTTAAAAAGACAAGTAACTTCAAATGTAGTGAGGGATTGTCAACTTGGTTGACTCTTTAAGTCATTTTTCACTGAAGTAATGGTTTACTGATTGATTGCGGAGAGAAAAGTTCTAATTTGTTGAGAGAAATATACTCATGACTTCTCTTTCAAAGAAACGTTTGATAATTTCTTCAGTAAATATAATTCTAAATAATCAAAAGACAAAATGATGAGGATGTGCTAAAGTTAATGTATACATGATTGTGTTCCTAGGCAGCTTTCCTCTACATCTAACAAATTCTAACCTCAGCTTTCCCATCTATGAAATGAGGTGACTGGAGTAAGTAGTCATCAAACTCCTTTCTTGGCAATAACAATTTTTGTATCTTCAGTATTTAACTAACACTGCAGAATCCATTGCTAACAGATTTTTCTGTTTCATACACAGGACTTCTCAAAGAGTGAAATGGACAAAAGTAAGAACTCAAAATAAATTTATTTTTGTTTCTTAGTAGTAAATCACTAATAGGGAAATTGATGGGTAATTAAGGCCTGAGCCAACAAAATTTATTATTTTAACTTTCCAGCTTCTTTTGTCTCAGCTTCGCCAAACTTCCTCAGCCCATGATAAAAAACACATGGTAATCAAAAGTTGATGTATTAGGTCTAAAAAGATGACAGCTTAAAAAATTTACAGAAACATTAGAGAAAATAGTCCACTAGGGCTGTGAGGCTTTTAGAAGTAGGTCTCAGGAATTGTCTGCGAATCACTATCTCATTTCATACTCTACTTTCTGTGCATTCACTTAAATGAAACTAAAACTATGGCCAAAAAAAAAAGATTCAGTCCACTAAACTAAACTGCTACTTTTCTACACTAAGGAATGTCCCTCCTACCTGTGACTTGGACTCTCTTTCTGGATAAAATCAAAGGTTTCCCCCGCCTGTGATTTATGAGCATCTGTCCAACATCTACAGATGATGCAGAAGCGCCTTCCTGCTGTTGATTAATTTGGGGAGACACATCATACTCATCTGATCCCATCTTCTTTTTTCTTTTCTGTGCCTCTACTGCTTGTTGTTTAGCATATATATACTCTAACTTCTTCAATACCACTTCTTCCGTCTTACCTGTAATTGACAGAAAATAAATTGTTACTCTCTACATGACCTCACACAATGAGAAATAAAGTCAACTGAAATCCAGTTAGTTAGATTCCCTGAAACTATGAAATGCAAGAATGATTATAACCCAGCAAAAAAGTTTCCCTCAATCAAGAGATAACTCTGGGCGAGCTAAGCCTCCAACAAACAGTATCTGAAAGATCTACCAAGGGGCCCTCTTCACTACAGCTCGTTACGTTCTTCACCAGGTTATGTACCCATCTTACCTGAAAGAGATGACACTTTTCGTATCAAAATATTCCGTTTTCGTGTCAGCAGGTTTTTCTGTCCTATCAACTTGTCTGCTTGATCTGTGAGTCCCTGAATTTCGCTGAAGGCCTAGAATAGAAATCGTAATTATCATTGTCAATCATATTTCTCTTTCCTACAAACAAGTGAGGGCTACATAATTTTTGTAATAGTAATTTAAAAGTCAAAGACTTAAAAATGCCACTTAAAACAATTCTCAAGGCTTTAGAAATTAATTTTGGTTAAATTGAATGAGATTTTCTAACTGTTAGAGAACACGGGTCAACATTAGATACACTTAGCAACATGGCTAGGTTACACAGGCGAGGTCACTACGTGAAAATCAGCATTGCATAAAAATAGAGGGTGAGCACATCAGATCACAAGCTTGTAACTGCATTGTTACATGACAGAGAATGGACCAATCAAGTTGCTACATAACCATCATAGCCCTTCTCTTCCCTTGGACCTCAGCATTACTGCTAGATGTCCTACATCAAGCAAAAACTAGTTCATTTTTTTACTGTTGTTCTAAGTTTGCTAACAAATAGTCGGTGAGAACCTCTGTATTTCCAAAGAACATCAAAAGCAGTGATAAGAATATACAAAGCACTTGTACTCTGCCTAGATTTTAATGAACTGTAACACTGCCTCTTACTATAAGTAAAATCTGGTAGAAATAGCTTTGGACTGGAGGGTGGGTAATGAATGCTTAGCCTGCACTCCTCCACCTTCTACTTAAAAGCAATTTGATAAAAATTTCTTTAAAATCTTCTACATGCAGATTTTCTTTTAAAGTAGCTATCAACTGTCAAGAACTACATTTAAATATTATTCCTCAAATTCACTAATATAAGGAAATTTTCTTATATCTCTAGTCAATCACCATGAACTACTTTGTGTTTCCATTATTTCAAGAACCTTAATATAAACAGAAAGCAAATCTAGCTACTGATTGTATAATGATCCCAGTAACCCCACCCAAGGGATTTACTGAGCATCCAATCACTGCACACTCACATGTTTATGTGCAAGCAGCTCTATTTAAATATTCTGCAAATGGCAATGAATTTCCTTTCTCTGTAAAAGATTTGCTTAGTCAAGTTCTTCTGTCCTTTACACACAATACTTACCCGGGTGAGAATCAGACTTTTTGAAACCTTCGAAGAATGGAGTAATCCCAACGTGATCTTCAATTTCTCAAAGAGATCCCTCATTTCACCACGCCGCCTCCGCTCATTGGCAGTATGTGTCCGGCGATAATAAGCAAAAGCTTCTGCTTCTTTCTGTAGTTTATCATTCCAACAATCAGACTTGAGTTTTAGAAGAAATGGTAGGGCCTACCAAACAAAGTACTGCCTCCTAAGGCTCTTTCACACCCACCCAACGCCAACCCCCTGCCTCTTCTCTATTCCAAATGGCACTGCCCGATTTCAGACACGCACATTCTGTCAAAGAGCCTAGGAACTGGACATCTCACTACCACAACAATGCCAGCAGTACAAATTCCACACAACATGCTAACGTGACCAGACCATATCACAGTTCAAATTTCAGATATTCTCCAAAATGAGAATCACTAAGGTCAGGGGAGATAATGCTTCTGAAAAAGTTTATTTAATAAAATTCATTATTGTTTTGAAACTTGTCAATGATAAAAATTATAAGAGGAAAAATTATCAAAACCCTAACTGGAAGAAACGGATTAAAAATGTAATTGTGTAAGACTCTTTACAATTTAAGGATTAACTGCCAGTCAGTCTTCCTAGAGCAGCAGTTTTCAACCTTTGGGTCGTGACCCCTTTGGGGGGGAGGGGAGTTGAATGACCCTTTCCCAGGGGTTGCCTGATCCATAACAGTAATTACATTATAAAGTAGCAATGAAAATGATTTGATGGTTGGGAGGTCACCACCACATGAGGAACTGTATGAAAGGGTCACTGCATGAGAAAGGTGGAGAGCCGCTCTGCTAAAGCCGCATTCTCCCTACAAGACACTGTGCGGTCCCACACTTCCTTGCCCTTACAACAGTTGTTCCTTCCACTTGGGTTACTCAAGACTTTCAGCCTGTGCTCTATAACTCTTACCTAATATTTAAAATCTCAAAGTTTTTGTTTTTCGGAGTCCCCCCCCACCCCACGAAAAATTCTCTTGACTTCAGAATGCCTTAGGCCTTCCTCTAGTTTATTTCCATTGACTTATTCTTCAGTTTTCTAGGCTATTTCTTCAATTTCTGCTGAGCACACGATTAATTCCCTCACACCGCCTCTTTCCAAAACATATTTATAACATTAATTTTATCTCAAATGATTTCCTCTGCAATTTGAAGTGATAAAGTGTACCTTAATTTCTAAAGTAGGACCACTTTGCTTCTACTTTGTAAGATAAAAACTAGCACACATATCCTTACCTTATTTCCTCTTCCCGCTTTTATCTCTCAATTTATCATTTCTAATTATGTGTTTGTCAAAGCTGAAGTTGTTCTAGACTTTCCTTATAGGTTATAAGCTTTTAAACAGAGTCATCAAAAGCAGCTACACTTATGATGTTGTATTACTCGCGGAAAGTAAATAATAATTAAATTTCCTGTCTGAGAAGGTTTCTTGGTTTGGGGGTTTTTTTGCCCCTGATGTTCTTTTACCATTTTTATTTTTTCCTACATTGTCTTTATTATGACCATTGATAACTCAAAGCTCTTCTGAACTCACTATCTTTGTAAAGAAATCTATTATGCATTACTATGGTACATTAAATAGTATGGGGAAATAAAAAATGCAATATAATAAAAATAAAACCACATTTAAATATAGTGGTACATTGCCAATTAGGGTACATTTCTAATATACCATATATACTAGAGTATAAGCCAACCCGAATATCAGCCAACGTACCTAATTGTACCACAAAAACTGCATTAAAAATATGCTGAAAGCACACCAGCCTATGCAACCACGAGGTGTCGAAGGGACCAGGTATAAGGCATCATCAGAACAAAAAATCTTACCATAGTGAATGATGGGGGGAGT